AACACTTGTCCATAATTGATTCATGGTTTGTATAGTTAACAAATGGTTTGTGAACTTGTATATTGTTTGAACTTGGTTTTCTAGCTGACAAATGGGTTGATACATGGTTTGTGAGTTAATACATTTTTTGATAAATGTTTTTATCTGATAAATGATTTATTACATAACATATTTTGTTAGATGATACATATTTTTGCTATCAATGAATTGATAAATAGTTGATATATTGTAACAAAAGACTTATTCGTTAATTAAAACATGGTTTGTATAATTGAGAAATAATTTGATAAATTGTTTGTCAGTTTGCCCAATGTTTGATACTTGTTTTGTAAATTAATATATGTTGTTTGTTAATTTTTTTGTTATATGATTCATGAATTGTTATCTGATAGATGTTTTGTTAGTTGAGGAATAGTTTGATACCCAAAAATGTGTAGTTAGTATTACGTATGTTATTAAATATTCATTTTTATTATCAATCTAAATGATATATATAATAGTAGAAAATTATTTTTCAGATGCATGAAATATTAGAAAGAGTAATAGATAAGAAGTAGGAGGAAAATAGTGTGAGAAGAAAGTGAACAAAATTGTGTTATGTCATCTCCAATCCAACTACGAAACACAATCCTAGTACAATTTTTATATCAAATTTTTTCCAACCCAACTCTAAAATTTATACTATTTTAATCTAGAGCTACAGTATCGCACCAAATATAGTGCGTTACTCTTCACGACACCAAATACTATTCACTAACTTTTATTGATAAAATATAACTTAATAATTATAAATAGCAAAAAGTACATATGAACTATAAACATAAATTTAGAAAATAAATATTACATATACTAAAATAGTTACTTTGTTATTTTAACATTATATGTCCAAATAATAAATGTTTATTTAAAAAAAAACTATTTATTTTTTGTTATATTGTGAAATATAATCAAAAATGAATCTTATTATTGTATTGTATGTGATTTTAGGGTTAGATTGTGGAATCTTAATTTTTTTTAAAAAAAAAAAACTAATTTGACATATATGTTTTTAGTTTTCTGTATATTAAACACTTTCTAAGTTTATTATAAGTTTAATAAAGTTTTTTATGTGATTTAGTTATAAATTTTATTTTGCGGTTTTGGAAGATTTAAATTTTCGAAGATATAATGCACTAGAAGACATACTTGATGACTTAATAACTGTTTTCTGCTCAAAAGTTTACAAGAATTTAGTTTTCCCGCCTAAAATTAAGTCTTCCAATAAGTCTTCCATAAGTCTTCCAAGGAAATTTTCTAGTGTATTAGTTCTTAAAATAATTTATAAATTGCATAAAAAAAATATTTTGATAGGGAAAATTATCATGATCATATAATTATAGACATTTATAATTGATATAATTTTTATTTAATAAAGTTGGATTGTTTTCAACAAATTGAATTATTTTTATATTTTGGAATCTTAATATTTTTAAAAATATTTAAACTTGACATATATGATTTCATTTTTGTGTATATAAAACATTTTATAAGTTGATTTTAGGTTTAATGGAGATTTACTTAGTTACTTGATTGTCAGGTTTGAATGACTTATTGAAAAGTTTTCTAACAAATAACACACTAAAAAACTTCAATTTAAGTATTTTGGGTGAATAATAAATTTATGGTCTAGAAGATTTCTTGTAAAAAGACTTACATAAAAGTCTTCTGTATCAAAAACATTTAACCTAATTGGAATTTTTGTCTTCTTATATAGAGAAACAATTTATACATTTTTTATTCATCTCAAATGGAGGCACAAAAATGTTACAACTCTTCAACCTCTCTCTAAACTATTTGAATTCCATAACACCAAATTTTATATCAATTTCTTGTTTTTATGTGTTTCTCACTATTTTATCTTGTTTTTGTAGGTTTTTCATTACATAGTTGTCATATTTTACTAATTTAAAGGTAGATCTATAAATTTTGGATATGTATTTTTTTGTCTTTTATATGTTAGATTCTATTAAGTTATAGATTCAACATAATGTGATTGTCTTAGTTATTATTTAAGCTTAAAAACATTTTTTTTTTGAATTTTTTCTCTATTTTGATGTCAGTTGAACGTTTTTGGATATGCAGATTTTTTTTTATATTTGAGTCAGGCGTTGGAAGACTTTCAGAATACTTTCCTAGAAGTCTTCTAGCATAGTCTTTTTCAATGTCTCTTTTTTCATAACAAATCTGAGCGTTTTAGTATTTTTCATGTCTGATTTTTCTTCATTTAGTAATCTCTTGTTGCATAAAGCTCTTACCTTTTTCCTAAACTAAAATTCTCCAACCTCTCTTTAATCTCTTTTAACATGAAAACACCAAACTTTATATCATTTTCTCTTTTTTTTCTTCATGTCTTTCTTACAAATTAATCTTGTTTTTGCAGGTTTTATCACATTATTGGATTTTGAGTTTTTCAGATATGAGTTAGACCGTGGAAGACTTATGGGAAGTCTTCTTGGATGTATTCTAACAAATAATGTGCTAGAAGACTTTCACGAAGTCTTCTCTCATATCAAGTGAAGTCCAAGCTTGTCCTTGTGGACGAATGATCTATAATAGTTTTGTTTGTGGTCTGTTTTGTAATTTGTATGTGTACTCTTTAGTTGTGATTTGTTTTTGTAAATTTGAAGAAATATTAATGAAAAATATGGTAAATATGTTTACTTCTTAAAACTATATGACATTATTAAAGTATACAAGAGTAGAATAAGAGTATGGTTCTATGTTTTTAAAATCAGTAATGATGTTTCTCAAAATGTAATATATGTGCTAACAATGTATTTTCCACTTTTACAAATCAATGAAATAAAAAAATTCAATGGCCTTCATTTTGTTTTAAAATAATTCTTTATTTTATTCATAAAAAGTTAAATTTCAATATTCTATTGATTCTTTTCTAAATTTAATATTCTATCCAAATTTTAGTTATTTTTTTATTCTTATAACTTTAAAATAAAATTAGAAATTATTTGTTTTTGAATTCTATCTTTTTTTTTGAAAATTGCATATTTATTAATAATTTTGCTTAAAATAAGCATAATGGATATTAAAATGAACATAGTTTTGAAAATAAATGTATTAAAATGAGTTGATAATTATTTTGAGTTTGACTATCAAAAATTTTAAAAAAGTTATTCGAAATAATTTTCATGAAATTATTCCATATGGCTAAATCTATAAAAAAAAAAAAAAAGAACCTAATCCCAACAGATATTCGAACATCCGCCCCTAGAGGATGCAATCCTCGCTAACCTAAAGGGGTGTTATTGGATTATGAATTTGTAAAGAGCTTTATAGATTTGGATTTTGTTATAAGTTTGGTGTTATTCAATTAAGATTTTTCAAAAGTAAGTTAAAATCTTATGTTATTGGTTTATGAGTTTATAATAAGTAGTTAGAAGTTTACAAAAAAAGAAGAGTTATTGGATGTGTTATTTTAGAATCTATATATATAAAGGATAGTTTACTCACTCATTGGAGTGCCACGTCAGATAATACTTCTCCAGTTTGATGCCACGTGTTTATTTTCACGAATGGGCCTCGCGATGTTAAAATTTTTTGGGCTTTCATTTAGCATAGCCCGTCTGAGTGTCTCCTCCCCCATCGAAAGGGTTTTCTGCGTTTCTCGCCTATCCCCAAAGCCGCCATTGATACTCCTCTCCACTCTTCTCTCATTGTCGTTTCGTTACTGATTGATTATAGAATTTAACACTCCCCACGATCTATCATCAATTCCCTCTTATCACCCTATAGTCGGGTGATGATGTGTATATATAGAGGTTTGTTCTTCCCATTCTCATACTCATTCCCATCATTTTCTCACAAATCTTAATCGTTATTTGTGGTAATGGCTATGTCTAGGTTTTTTTTTTCCCGATCTCAAGTCCGGTCGTTGCTCATCAACCGTCGAAGTTCGCCTGCTCCGGTTCTGGGAGGCACGTAATCCACGCCGTGGAGGGGAGCTTATGTGGATCGATATGTTAATGATCGATATGTTAAAACCCTTATCTGTATATGGAGAGGAGCTTATGTGGTTTAGTTTCTTAGTAGGCTGAGCTACGTACAAATGTGTGTTTAGGCAAAAAAAAAATTAAAAAGGTATTCATGTGTTTTAGGCAATTGAAGAATAAAGATGATGATAGAGTGGTTGAGAATAATGAAGGTCTGCCGCAGGCTTTGTTGGGAAGCTGCAATGATCCGATCATTATGATCGTGCAAGGCAGCTTCAGGCTTCTTCTTCAGGTCTTCCCCCCAGGTCTAAAGGTTTTATCTTTCCCACGCTTCATTTTTATCATTCAGTTTTTTTTTTTTTGTAGGAAATAGGGAATCGACTATATATATATATATGGAGCACATCATTGATTCTTTAGTGACTTAACATGTTTTCTTTTCTGCAGCAAATAACAGTTTTCCATGTCTGAAGGCAGGTACCAACCAAAATAAATGCATTCTAAAAGAAGAACAACTAATGGATCTATTAAGGTATTATTGATTTTTTTTCCAAGATGTTCTGTACATCTATTCGCATGTAATGAAACCATTATCAAATATTGGCTTCTAAGACCTCCCATTGCATACTCTGAACATAATTTTTGTTCTTCTTTGTGGAGCATTCGCTGTTAAAGGAAAAGAAAATTCAACATCAGAAGATTTTAATGGTTTTGAGTGTAAGATAACTTGCAGTTCTTCAGAGGCACATTGTCTTTTCCTGCTTAACACTATGGAGTTTAAGCTTGAAGATTTTTCTTTGTACCAATTGGTGTTGTACATTTCCTGTAGGTCTCTCATGTAAACAACCGATTTGATGAGTTACTTCAGGAGATCACAAAGCTGGGTTGAGAAGAGAGCAGAAAATATGTAGCGAGTAAGTTGAAGGCTCACACCAGATATTTGTCAAACATACGGGATTATGTGGATATGGCGATGGATGTAAGTCTCACGTGATCGTGGGGATACGAACCGAGATGAAGATAGAGAAAGAGTGGGAAGAGGAAGAAAAGGTTAGGAAGAGAAGTAAAGTTATGGAAGTTGAAGATAAGAATAATGAAGGTACTGGCAACTACATCAACGAAGTCAAAGATACATTCCCCTTTGGTTGCTTCTTATGCAGATTGCCTTTCGTTGATTCAGTTGTCATTACTTATGCAAAGCATTACCTACGTGAGAGTTGTCCTTTGTCTTTATGGTTTAGCTAAGAGAGTCCTCTGCTCAACCTTTCATCACTTTGAAATTCACTTCGAGGTGCAGGGGAGGATCACAGAAGAGGACGTCTGAGAGGTCAATATATAGTATTTAAAGTATCACCCAAAGATGATGAAATAATACTTTCTGATAAAGAAGCTTTATCTTAATATTAAGTGTTTACAAAACAGAAAGCAAACATGCACTCATTGTTACTTCGGACAACAAATGATATACATATTAATATAAAAAACATGTCTCCTCTAATTTTCTAGATTCAAGGGGAAGAAAAGCACAAAACAAAGTTTTTTTTTTAATTATCGGTGTTTTATATATGTTTATAATAGATACAAGTTTAGTATTTTTTTATTTTCTCACAAACCTTTTTAAGAATTCGGTCATCCGAATTATAAAGATCTCGATATCTATTTATGATAATGATATTGGATTTTATCAAACTCAAAAAAATAAAAATGTTTAAAAGTGAATTTAAGTAACATTTTATTTGTCATCAAATTTAAATTTTAGAAAATTAAAATTGATATAATACGAACCAAAAGTTCATATATTAAAAAACAAAATACAATATATGCTAATAAAAAAAAACCAACATTTATTAATCCCATTATATTTATAAAAATAAATTAATAATATTACTAATCCAAGGGTCAATCCAAATATATATAAAGCGATGTGTAATTAAAAAAAAAACATTTTAACCATCTACGTCATACTTCAAACAAAACTTTAATATGTAAACAGAAAATTCGTTCTCGCATCTATACCAAAACAAAATTATACTTTAATAAACTATGCATTAAACAGATTCAACCAGGTTTTAAATTCTAATCTAATTTGAAATTAAGTAGCTGTATATATATAGAATTACAAATTTTATTTAATTTTTTTATTATCATATTGTTAGAATCTAAAAATAATATGAAAATAAAATGAAAACCTCAAAATAATAAAATTTTAAAACAAATTGACCTATTTAGATATATATTAAATAACCAATATGATTTGTTGACATCTTTTTAAAATTTACACTTTTTTAATTTTTAACTTAAATTTAAAAACCCAAATTTTAATATCGAACCAATAACTTATACTAAAATTAAAAATATATATATATATATATATATATACTTATAAAATAAAAATAGAACACAACTTTATTAATAACTGTAATAATCATATTAAAAATATAGTCAATCGAAACTTAAATTGAGTAGTTTACAACAAACAAATTAAACGAAAAAAACTGATATTTTAAAAACAAACTATCAAAAAACTATCAACACATAATATAAAACCAAATCACTTAACTAAAAATAAATAGTAAAAAATGATATAATGGAATAAATTCTTGCACGTAGCACAAGCTTACCCTAATCTATATATGCCACGTTATGATAAATAAAGATCCACTATACACACATAGAAATATTTAATATGACACTTACTGCCAACAACACCAATATCCAAAACTATAAATATTTACAACTCATTAAGACCATACAAAATTTATATATTCAATATATTCATAATCAAACCAAACTAAATTATAATAAACATATAATCCCCCCTCTCCAAAATTTTTAAAACTACAAAACAAAAACACTATACCAAAACTTTCCAATGCAAACATATAATACAAAACCCAAATACATACAAAATTCTTAACGTATAATCCCGCCCGTAGGGCGGGCCGACCCTAGTATTAATTAAAGTTTTGTGTTATTCAAAAAAAAAATGAAAGTAACTGATCTTGTCATTTTTGAAAATGTGTTTTTATTGGATTACTGATTTATGAACATTTCCTTTAAACTAATTTTATAATTAACAATTTTTTTTTTTTTTTTGAAACTGACTTTCATATTAAAGACAAAAAAAAAGAAAAACATTACAAGCCTAAAAAGACTAGTTTGTTGGGCTAAACCCAGTGTCAATAAAAGAAACACATATCAATGAAACTAAGTTGGGCTGAATCAGTTGAGAATGTTGGGTTTTGAGGCCCAGAGTGATGATGATGAAAGAAAAGATGAAGCAGCGAGTGTCTCGATGATTCCGAAGACTCACGACCGAAAAAGCCAAAGTTGCATCATCGCAAAAGATGCTCGGCCATTGGTTTTCCTCAGGCTTTGTAGTCTATTCCAAATCTGTATATCAATAGATGTTATCAGAGTATCAGTTGACCGGTAAGTCTGTTGATGGATATTCCTTTCATTCCATATCCAGTAGATGGAAGCCTGTAGAGAGAGGATAGTTAGCCTTCGTAAGTCTCTGTTTTCCCGGATCGAGAGAAGTAGTTCAAGATTGCTCTCCCACCGCGATGGAACCTGAAGTTGACACCGGTACGCAACGGAAGACCACACCATCTTAATATATGAGCATTCAAAAAACAAGTGGTCTTTGGATTCTGGCAGTGAGTTACACAATAGACACATCGGATCAACTCCTTCTGTACCCCATCGTAGCAATCTGTCCGTTTTTGGGCATCTATCAAGCACCAGCAGCCACATTAAGAAGCTCTGTTGAGGGATACCAAAAGAAGACCAAACAACAAACGCCCATTGAACCGATGGCTTAGGTCCTACAATGTTAGTATAATTATCTCCAGTACTGAACTTAGTACAAAGCTTACCATTTACTTCCCATTCATAAAAGTCCTCTTCCTGCGTAAAAACAACTGTTGTAAGATCTACTTAAACTGCTAGCTGATTATCTGATCTTGCAGGGGGTAGTAACCATTGGTTATCATGAGAGAGAGAGAGGCAATCGTGGCGTCTCTAAGAATACCAAGTCTTCTAGTCAAGGCACTCAGAAAGTTTGTGAGGTTTCCATAGGGAGACCAATTGTCGAACCAAAAGCTAGTGGTGACTCCATTGCCAAGCCGTCATTTGATGAGAGGGAATACAAGGTCCCTAGATTTGATCAGTTTATTCGCCAACCAAGAGTAAGAGGAGCTCGGTTTGACAGACCAGTAGTTAGTAAGAGATCCTTTGAGCACAACCTCCTTGAACCAACATACCCACACAAAATCCGATCTGAAAAAGAGGAGCCATATGAGTTTTAAGAAGCATGCACGATTCCAAGCATAGAGATCCTTCACATCAATACCTCCCTGTTCTCTGGTTAGTGTAACTTTATCCCACGAGACACGAACCGAGTGATGACCCACAGAAGTACCATTCCAAAAGAACAGTCCACAGAGAGAATTAATTCGTTTGATACATGCTTTAGGGAGGATGAAAGTGGAACACCAAAACATAGTGATAGCAGTGATGACCGTCTTAATCAGCAGAAATCTTCCAACAAAAGACAGAGATTTCGCAGACTATGAAAAAAAACGACTTTTGATTTGTTGTATAAGAGGCTCACATAGTTAACAAAATTAAATCAACAAATAACACAAATCTGTAACTACAACATATCTCACCGAGTTGCTGTAGTCAAAACTGAACCACGTTACTTCTTCCTCTCTTCTCTCCTTGTAGGGGTGGGCGTTCGGGTACCCGTTCGGGTTCGGGTCGGGTATTTCGGGTTTTCGGGTATTTCGGTATTGGGGTTTAGAACCCGTTCGGGTATTTTTACATATCGGGTCGGGTTCGGATATTTTTAGTTCGGGTTCGGTTATTTCGGATCGGGTTCGGATATTTAGATTTTGAAAGAAAAATTTTAAATTCTTAATTACTTAAGTTTCATGTATTTTTAAAATTTAACTATTAACTTAACTGGTTTTAAATGTTTAATAAGTTAGACGATTANTTTAGAACCCGTTCGGGTATTTTTACATATCGGGTCGGGTTCGGATATTTTTAGTTCGGGTTCGGTTATTTCGGATCGGGTTCGGATATTTAGATTTTGAAAGAAAAATTTTAAATTCTTAATTACTTAAGTTTCATGTATTTTTAAAATTTAACTATTAACTTAACTGGTTTTAAATGTTTAATAAGTTAGACGATTAGTAAGTTTGAAAATAAATTATTGAAAATAAAAACCATTATTTTGGTTATTATTTTCGAATTTTGGATGCAAATTTTGTTTAAAGTATGAAATAAGAAGCTTAACATGCATTTTAAATGAGTAACAAATCAATTCTTTTACAATTATATGTATATTATCTGATATTAAACTATATATAACATTAATATAAATAGTTTTAATAAAATGAGACAAAATAAACTAGGAATAAATGGGTATATATACATATGTTCGGTTATCTTCGGATACCCGTTCGGGTTCGGGTATTACCCATTCGGGTTCGGATATCCAAACTCTTCTAACTCAATACCCGTTCGGGTATTTTGCTACTTTGGTTCGGATTTCGGTTCGGATATTTCGGGTCGGGTTCGGGTACGAGTTTGGGTATCGGATAAAGTGCCCACCCCTATCTCCTTGTATCACACTATCACTATCTCTACATTAAACATCAAAAACTGCTGTCGCACTTTCTGTAACAACACCAAACATAAATGACACAAACTCAGTTAAGTGGGAAATCGAAACTTTAACACAAAGTCTAGACGAGAATCTTCTTATAATGAATAATAAACTAGGCCATAATAAACTAGGCCAAAACAGTAACGTCGCATGAGACCAATTATTTCAAAAGTCATCTTAAAGATTCAGAAGTTTATTAGAGTCCCACATCAGATTATTCAAATATCCTTGGTAATATATATATATGTGTATGGACAATTTTCTATTGTTGAACTAGCTTTTAACTGTGAGTTAGGTCCATCACTAATATGGTATAAGAGTCATGGTTTAACTCACAGTTTTTTATCTATGTAGCCTGTAAAAGTGGCCTATATTACTGTGGTATATCTGAGATGTTGGGTTTAGACTATTTTCCTATGAACCGTTTCTCACCCATGTCTCGTGAGGGACTATTAGAGTCTCACATTGGATAATTCAAATATCATAGGGCAATATTTGTGTTTGGGCAATCCTCCACTATTGAGCTATATTTTTGGTGTGAGTTAGGTCCATCACTAATAAAGTTCAATGTTGTAAAACACTCATAAAACTACAAAACTCAAAATGACACAAATATACGAAAATGTAGGTATTTAATAAAAATTCTC